ATAGCCGGAAAGATCCAGCAACCATGAGCAGGAACGGCTGCAGGACACACTCGGTCTAGGTGGTTCTGAAAAATACGGTCATGAGTTTACAGTGATTCCAGGAGGACTGTAAGTGCAGGTTTCTGTTCCAGCAAAATGGGAAGGATTCACCATGTACTTTGAGACATTTCCGGAAATTGAAAAATCAAGAATTATACTGAACCTTTAGGGATTTTTTTTTACAGTTTTGGTAAGATATATTGTGGTAAGAGACCAAATTGTCCACAGCAATAGTGTATGGACAAATTAAGCAACATTCCATGGGTGAGGAATCTGTTTACAGCTGATGTCAAAGGACTTCAGGATATAGATGCATTTCAGTGGGGTTATACTTTTGTTTTTTTGTTTTTATAACGTTAATACTGTGCTCTACTCTCTTCCATTTGGTGAGCAGTGAGGAATATTTACTCATTCACATTGTAAACACATGAATCTCTGTGCTACACGCGTGAGTGTGAGGCCATTTTTATATGTAAAATTCCAGAGTGAAGTTTGTACACATTTGTATGACTTACCTAAAGGCCTTAGATATGTATTTGTTAATTAATATGGCAGTAATCAATATATATGTTTGAAAGTAAAATACCTTGACTCTGGTACATCGATGGCTCTGAGTGGCCAATAAAGTATCAGTGATGCATGAAACGGCTGTTTGCACTTCGAGTCCATTTTCAAAGTTTTGTAAACATGCAGGGGGGTAGTTGTACATTTACTGTGACATAACACTGAGCCCAGCTACAGAAAGAGGTGACCTGCATCCTTCTAACCTTCTTACTGCAGCGCCTTTTGTTTTAAATGAAAACATACTGTGATTTTTTTAAAGCTGTCACATGTCATTGCTTCCCAGTTGCCCAGGTGGGCTCTGGTTGATGCCTTTTCATGCAGTATTGATACTTAGGTGGGCTCTGGTTGATGTCTTTTCATGCAGTATTAATACTTAAATATTACTCCCTGAGAACCCCTGTGCAAATTAGCTGTGGCAGAAGCAGGAGCTGCACAGAAAGGCCACATGTGAGGACTGGCCATCCTGCATGCCAGCAGGCATGGAAGGCTTGTTTTCTTCAAATACGTTTATTGTGCGCCACAGAATTCTCTGTATATTGACTTTTGCAATGCAGGGAAGAATTTTGGGAGACTGATGGATTTCCCTTGTACAATGTTTAAGCCACTACCTTTACAAATTAAAGGAAGCCCAAGAAAACAAAGTATGATGATGAGTCGTGTCACCTTGGTGTTCATCTGTCCTGGGCCAGATAGTCTTTGTAAAAGGTGTCTGCTGCTTTCACCTGTAACATGCATCAGAGGGGCTGCCCATCACTCTAATTTCTCTCTTGGAGAATCCCTCTGAAATGGGATCATATCATTCACTGCTGACATGAAAGAGGGTGGAGTCGTCCAGCCGCCATCCTGCACGGGCTGCAAAAGGGGAGTTTTCCAGAGAGAGGAGAAGCTGTGCACTGAATTCCCTAGTGGTAGCTCTGACACCTCCCTCAGTTTACCAAGACAGTATCTGAAGTGCGGAGATAATCCTCCACCACTTGTCATGGTGACTCATGCGTTATGATGCTAAAAAATAAATCCCACCATCTGAGACTCAAACTGTTAGCTCAAACTGAGCTAATTTATGTACCAGGTAGATAATTACGCCCCCGCGATCACTCTATTCCTGCAGATGGCTCCTTAAGGTTCCCCTTCTTCCCCTTAAGAAAACCAGCAACATGGCTCTTCTGAAAACACTGACATGAGGCCCTGCAGACCTTTGCTCCTCAGTGACAGGTACATTTAGCCCATAATGATACAGCCAAATGGACAATCTGCCTCTGATTGTTTCCTTGTCTACTTGTGAAGTTATTTTCCCATAATAGTTTGCCTAAAATACCAATCCCAAGCTGGCAATGGGAGAAATAAGAGTGTGAAACTGAAACAAGGTGGAATTGTGGTGCACTTCATTTTCATAATCCCACTGCCTACATTAGTTCTTATTGGGTTCACCCTATTAATGGTGGACAGTTCAAGGTCACATTTCTCCAAAAATGTTTTCTGTCTCTTAACATTTGCCATGGCATTTTTTTGTGTTTTTCCACCAGTTAATTCCTAGATATCTACACACATTAATTACCTTCTGTACGTCACAGCTGGACACATTCCTCACAAAGTCCCTCAGACCCTCAGTACAGTCAGCACAGAGAGGATTATCATGTGCTGTCAATCCTTGGCTTACTGCAATTCAATCCATCTTCTGGAGGCATTTATCCAGGATCACAGCAACACTGGACCATATCCGGAGAAACACAGACAGGTACAAGAAGAACAGGATACCAGTCACACACAGTGTTATGTCAGAATCCAAGTACACGGCCTGCCTTTAGACTGTGGGAGGAGACCAGAGTCCCCAGAGAAAGCCCACTCAGATGTGGGAAGAACATGCCGCACATGGGCAGGAATTGCACCTACACCCACAGGGGTGTGATGCTACAGACCTTTAACTACATTTTAATTGTGTTAAAGCAGGTAATGACTGTCAGTGCACAGCATTCACATTCTCTATGTGACTCAACATTCTGCATGAAGAGTTTATAAAACAGCTTATTTACAACCTATTTTTAGTGAGAGTCCTTATTTGCTTCAGAATATCAACATCATTTAAAAATCCATACATCCATTTTCTGAAACCGCTTATCCTATTCATGGCTGCGGGGGGGTCTGGCTATGGGTGCAAGGCAGGGAACAATCCAGGATGTGTGAGGTGACAGTGCTAACCACTACACCACCATGACACCCCCATTTAAAATTGCATACTGTATATACATCACATCCATTGTTTCCATGGCAGCAAGACTACTAATAGAATTAGTTAAAAATTACAGTATTTCAGTGGTAATTTTCCTCATCATTAAAAAAATGTATTCCACCTCTGAAGGTGTCCTGTGGTATCTAGCACCAAGACGTTAACAGCAGATCTGTTAAGTCCTGTAAGTTGCAAGGTATGGTCTTCACAGATCAGACTTGTTTGTGCAACCCATCCCACAGATGCTCAATCGGAATGAGATATCAGCAATTTGGAGGCCAGGTCAAAACCCTGAACTGTGTTTTTAGGTTCCTCAAGCCATTCCTGAAGAATTTTTGCAGTGTGGCAGGGCACATTATCCTGCTGAAACAGACTACCGCCATCGGGGAATACCATTGCCATGAAGTGGTGTACTTCTTCTGCAATAATATTTAGGTAGGTGGTAAGTGTCAAAGTAACACCTATATGCATGCCAGGACCCAAGGTTTCCCAGCAGAACATTGCCCAGAGCATCACGCTTTTCTTCCCAAAGTGCCTTCACTCCCCACGCACATCAGTGAGCCTTGAGTGTCCATGACCCCAATGCCGGTTCACTGTTTGCCTACCTTTAACTACTTTTGGTAGGTACAGTACTGACCACTGCATACCGGGAACTCCCCACAAGACCTGCCATTTGGAAGATGCTCTGACCCAGTTTAGCCATTGCAATTTGGCCCTTGTCAGAGTTGCTCAGATCCTTACGCTTGCCCATTTTTCCTGCTTCCAACACTGACTGTTCCTTTGCCTAAGATATAATGGCACCCTTGACATGTGCCATTGTAACAAGATAATCTATTTTATTCACTTGTCAGTGGTTTTAATGTTATGGCAGATCGGGAATGTAATTTAAATCACTGAAGAAAATGGAAAAAAAATCCAGCTCAACATAAAAACACATTCAATTAGAAGTTAGTGAGAGTTTAGCTGAGGAGATCCAGTAATGTTAAAACCCTCTAGTAATACTCAGATGGTCACTTACTGTCCTCAAAGCCAAGGAACTTCCTCGATATGCTATTTTGTTCTGGCAGCTCAACACATCCATCTGACACACCTGTGCTCACGGTTTGTGCTGAAGAACAAAGCCAAGCAGTGATTCAATTGAACTGAATTACCTGCTTGGGACTACAACAATTGCAACAGGTTACCCATGATCTCTAAGCAGCTCCATTAAAGAATAAATCTCTACAATACAATCTGAGTGTTGCTATACTTACCCACGTAATACGAGTGACACACAAATGCATATAGTCCCGGAGGCTGGCTTGGGATATTAAATAACTATGGTTTAAAAGAGGATTACTTGCCCGTGAGCATCAGGAATAAGATAATGCATTCCATCTCTCAGGAGGTTACCATCAAACTCGCCTGATGACAGCCTCCCAATGGAAAAAGAATTCGGATACTTTGCACCATCGAAATGTAATAAAAGGTGCATAAATTCCACACTGTCTCTCTCTCTTTCCTGCCTCTAGGTCTTGACGAGACATTTTTCACTTAACTAGACTGTCACCCAGTGTGACAAGTTGCAATATGGGACAAGGAGTGAAAAACATCCAGAATGACAAGCTGCTCTTATTTATAATCACCTCCATTAAATATTCCCACATCTTATGATGCTAGGAAAGAAGAAGCTGGGATCTGTTTAGCAAATACCTTCATAAAGAGAATTGAGATTCATAAAGACACAAGCATGTGGGGCAGAAGGGGGCCATAGCTATGCTGCTCAAATGTAATGAAAGCTACTATATGATACTGGTGTGACAGGATGAATCCTATCTGCACATTTATGAGTAGGTCAGAAAGATGTAAAACCAGTATATGATAATAGGATGACAAAATGAATCCTATTGCGCATTTCTGAGTATGTCAGAAAGAAGTAAATTCAGTATATGATAATATTATGACAAGATGAATCCTATTGCGCATTTCTGAGTATGTCAGAAAGACGTAAATTCAGTATATGATAATAGGATGAAAAGATGAATCATATCTGCGCATTTCTGAGTACGTGAGAAAGACATAAAGATAGTATATGATAACGGGATGGCAAGATGTATCCTATCAGTGAGTTATAGCAGGCTGATTGCAGTACAGAGTACCTAACATATAGTACCAGTCAAAAGTTTGGGCACACTTACACATAGAAAGGTTTATTTGTACTATTCTTTACATTTTAGAATAATTATGAAGACATAAAAACTATACAATGACACATTTGGAAGTACGAAACAAAAAAAAACAATAACTTGTGGAGGGAGGTGGGAGGGCAGCTTTGTGGGCTGGAAATCCCATGGTCACATGGTCAGCATATTGATCCCACCATTGGGCCTTTGAACAAGGTCCTTAACCCCCAGCTGTTGCAATAATAAATGAACACCGAAAGGGTATGCTCTCTTTCACAAACCTGTGTAATACCTTAGAGTTAAATCTGTGCAAGATTTCTTTCTTAAACAATGTGCAATAACTCTTATACATTATTTTATTGCTTTTATATTCTATTATTTTTGCACTGCAAGGGACTGCACACAATTTTCATTATACTTTTGTGTAATGACAATAAAGTTTCTGATTCTGATTCAGCTATGTTAAGATTAAGAAGGTCCCACATATGCTGAGCAGTCATTGACCACTTTGCCCTCACTCTCTGGTCAGACTCCTCCAAAATCATTTTACTGTGTTTAGGTAAGGTGGCCAGGTCACGTGATGCAACTCTCTTTGTAGACGGCTTTGCGTGTTCAGACCTTTGACTAGTACTTTATACATAAGGCAGGCAACTCCCTTTATTTGATTAAATATAGTTAAATATAGCTTTTAGACTTCCTTTTGATGGGCCATTTCTCTTAAGCACTAAAAGAACAGCAAATAACCTGCAGTTTTAGAAAAGGTGGGATTCAGTAATCCAGATTTATAGCAAACCACCCATTTTATACGCGGATGCATCTTTAAGCTATCATTCTAACAGTGACTCTAGCAAAACACCTTGTTGGAGGTGACGATAGCCAAGCCCCTCTGGGTTTTCCATGCCAAAAGACCCGCCCACCACACAAAATCTCTGCAGGACAGGCACCTGTAGCAGCTGGCCAGCCCTTTCTGAGTGGCTTATAAGGCTCAGAAAGCTGAATTCATGCTGGACACAAGGATTTATTTAAAGCATTTAAAGACAAATATATAATCCTATTATCACTTTTCTTGGGAATATGCCCAAATACCGTATGAGAAGACAATGCACACTGAAATGGGAACTCAGCTCTTTTGAACATTTTTAAAATGGCATCCTGATTCAATCTCACTTTGATCAGAATTTTATTTATTTAATTTCAGGACTGCATTCATACAGAAATAGCTGGATTGTACATGTTAATAACTGGCAAACATTCAAGCTTCAGCCCTGACAGACAGCATGGGGAGTGTACAGAACCTCCCCCAGCGAGTAGGCAACAAGGTCCCCCTCCAGCCCAAACTGGGATACGGCGGTGCTGAGCCCACGATACTGCTCCACCTCCACCAGGGGGCTCCAGACGCTCCTGCTCCGCTCCCGGTCTCTCTCCATCTCAATCCTGTGCGCCTGCAGGTCATCCATCGGCTGCACCTTCTCATATTCTTGGGCTCCGCCCTGCGCCGCCATGCTAGCAGCACTGAGGAGTGAGGACACGCCATCTCGTAGGGTCAGTGCTTCCCGCTCCAGGGAGGAGGCCAGCACCAGTACCAACTCCTCCGCTGCCTTCCCCTGGATGGGCTGGACCTCACAGGATGGAGGCAGGGAGCGACACAGAGAGTCCAAAACCTGAAGCAGCTGAGCCCGGCTCCTGGGAGACCCCAGAAAGAAGGCAAATCAGTCTCCAGATAAAGGCAGCACACAAACCAATCATAAAGATAGAGTGCAGACTTGAATTTGCACAGCAAGCCTGACAGCAATGAACTAATAAAGTCATATCAGCTTATGCAGTAAGGCTGCCTGCCCAGGGTGTGCAGATTACACTGTGGTTATCATTACATAAGGACATTATTACAGAAACAGTGTCAAAGCCTGAGAGCAACACAAAATGCAAATGTAATTAAATGCAAGTGTGTGTTCATTTTGGGACAGGCTGCACACACTGTGACGTCATACTGAATGGATAGTCATGGAAGATGGGTGAATAACTGGATATAAAGATGCACTGTAATAATGTCCAGTTAAGCCTTTTAGCTGCTCTGTACTGAATGAAGCTGTACATACAAACTGCAGCATGGCCAGGGTGCCATGTGACTGGGCCACATCATGACCGCCGCGGCTCTCCGCTTTGCTCACCTGCAGCAGACGCGCAGCTCGCCCTGGAATGGCGTCCTCTCCTGCCAGCGGAACAGGACGGCCGCACGCGGCTCCGCTGCCGCAAACAGGAAGTAGCCGGGGCTGAACGGCACAGGCTCGCTACGTGCCACTGCCAGTAGCCAGTGGGGCACGCAGTGCAGGGTGTGCTCAGGGGAGCGGAGAACGAAGGAGCAGGATTCCCACGCTGCCAGCAGGCTCAGGAGGTCTTCGGAACACTCCTCTAGAGACAAGAAAGGGGCACGATGTAACAACAGCTAAAGAAAAGGGGAAATATATGATGACGGCCAAATTCAACTTAAAGTCGGGGGATTCTGATGTGAAGAAAAGTTACTCAAACTTTAAAAAAATGACACCTTTTCTAGTGCAAGACAGAAAAAAATCCCTAGTTGTCGATTTCCAAGGAACATTTTAAAGCTGTCTGTTAAATGTACTTAAAATGACAAAGGTTACTCAAAAACAAACAAGTTCAATTAACCTGTAGTAAACTTGCAGCAGTTGACCAGGTGAGGGCAGTATTTTCCCTGAGCCACATCCTGGATGTCCAGGGAGACATGACCACACAGCTTGGCAAAAGTGCCCCCCTGGCTACAGCCATTGTGAAGCAGCACAGCACACTGAATACTGCCACAGGCCACCAGTGGGGCCAGGTCAGTCACCACGGTAACAGTCAGCCTCTCAGCACTGTTACTTCGGTCCTGCTTCGTCCTCTTGGCCAGGGGCTCCTTTACAGTGGAGGGGCAGGGAAACCGGAACATTCTGCTATGGGTCTGCAGCACATGCACCCCTGAGCCCTGGCCGTCTTCTGACAAGAGGGACAAACTTACGCTCTCTGCTGATCTGGAAAACAAACAACACTATTCAATGTCACACCATCCCAGCTATTTTCAGAAACCAAAATGCTGTATTTGCAGACTCGACATTTGCAGAACATTTCGAATGATATTGGCATGTGCCTCGATCCATATTCGAGTTGTCAGAACTGTAACTGGGACACAGAGAGAGGTCTTTGGCTGATGGACTTCCTGTTTTCCTTATGGGCCTGGCTGCTAAACCAGGAGAAAGTGCCTCTTGGGTCGTAGCGCAAACGGCTGTCATGGCTTTGGACTCGCAATTCGAAAGGCTGCAGGTTACTGTTGCCATGGCGATCAGGCAGACAATACCCTCAACGTCTGGAGCGACCGCTTCGGTGAGGGAGATGCTTCGGCAAGTCGCAGAGGCAGTGGGAGAGCAGGAGTCGAGTTGGTTCACAAGCACAAACGAAAATAATCTGGATCTCCCCCAGTTAACAGGTGGCTCTAAGCGGCTTCGAGGACGTGCAAGATGTGCCACAGAAGACCCCTGCAGAGAAACTACCCTTAAGAATCAAATTCTGGTAATGGAAATTGATTATTTTTACAGATAAACTTCTGCATTTAGCATCATCTTGTTACTCTGCACTGCATGCTTATCATACGACCACATGCAGCATTTATGATTGACGTGCCAAAAAAGCAAAGTGAAGATTTTACGAAGTTAAAGTCTTAATAGGAAACATTTACTGGGTTAATATCACGATGTAATACAGGGATAGAATAAGCAAAGGGGACACAGCTCCAGTGACACTGTGGGAGCAAGCCTACGATCTGCTGAGTCACACAAACCTGCACAGAAGTCTGCCTCATTGATGGACTTTGACCTTGACTTCAGTTTACACCTAGCTTTTATTAAAGCAGGCTCATTCTTTTGTTTTCTATAATGTCAGCATGCCCAGAGGGGCTGGGTAGCCAGTTGACTTGGGACCCCCAGAGGTTTTTTTTCTCCCCCTGCCTGGGAGTTTTTGGGTCCTCTCCTCTGCTGTCTTCTGGGTTTCTTTCATTCCACCTTCCCTTTTTCCCTGTTTCAAGTACCATTCTCTATAAATGGTGAGATGATGAATGGCCACACACCCTTGTGAAGCACCCTGGGGTGACACTACTGTGAAAGGCGCTAGATCAAAATAAACTGGACTGAACTGAAAACTGCACCCTAAGGCTTGCCTTCATTTCCCCAAGGCAGCTCGAGGTGTAGAACGACGCTCACTTACGAAGCAGTCTCCTCCGTCAGCACCGCACCCACGACCAGGCGATCCTCAACGACACGCTGCCATATCTTCTCCACGGGAAGAGGGTGGGGCTCAAATGCGGTCAGCCTCTCATCTGGGCCTTCATCCTCCACATCTTCATCCCACAGAGATACCAAGCCCTCCTGTAGAAAGATTGCCCTCCATCATTTTCACATCTGCACACTTGCTCCACACTTGCTCCACCCCCCATACTGCCATAACACCAACCAAGACCATGAAGAGGTTCTACTACAAATCATGCACTACATACTACATCATGGATGTCATACGACACAATTCGATATTTACCCCCATAAATAGTCAACACTTAAGCACACGAAAGAGCCCTCTACCTGTTCCGCCCTGGACACGACATGCTCTCTTCCCGAAACAGCATCTACCAGGGCTTTTACTGACTGCAGCAGGAGCCTGTCTTTCACCTCCAGCCCTCTCTGAAGGTCCCGGAGAGAGGTCATGCCCGACTGTGGATTAAGATAATACACAAAACCAAGGTGCACCTGCAATCATCATTCTTTAAAGCCCACAACGCAGAAATATGGTGGATTTGAACTGTAATATCTTGACCTGAACAAAGAATCTCAGCAAGACTCTTGTGGTTACTGCAGAATCCCACAGGTAAAACATGAGCATCAAATTATATGAGAGCTACATGTGCATCACTGCGAGGTACCTAGGAGGTGAACCAGCAAACTGACTCTGCGCTCCAAGCTGCATACCCCTAAATCTATACAGCAGGTGTGAAACTCTTACTATATGAATCCAGACATCTTTGTATTCATTCGTAATGAAAAAGAGCTGGATAGCCCAATCACTTGGAACTTACCTTGTGGTATTGAAGGACTCATATTCGAGCATGGGACTGACTAAATCAGTGATGTGCAGGGTGTGTGGCTCTGAGGGCTATATATATATATATTAAAAAATGGGGCTCCATTTGGTGTCTGTACCTGCAGTCGAGACTCTAACGCCTGGACCATCCGGAGATAATTCTCCTGTAGTGAGTCTGCAGCACCTGAAGCGTCATCCACCACATTCTGTCTGGTCTGAAACACAGAAAACTGACTTTCATCTAAATAACAAGACCGCATTACAAACCACAGTTAACATACAAAATAAACAAAACTGGCAAATATGTTAAAGTAGCTTACATTGTAAGTCATATCACCAAGGTCGGTGATGACAAAGTTTGCAAGTGCACCCTCTGCTGGTTCATGCTTCTCAAAGAGCAGCAGTATCTGGTCAGTGCCACGACCCACAAAGTCGTCCACATGGAGCGAGCTCACACCCTCCCAGCAGTGAGCCACCTGACAACCGGGGACAAAATGAATGTGGAAAAGAGAACAGACACCGCTAGGCTGTGCTTAGAGTCAGACAATGAAATTTAAAGAAAAGCAGGAAAAATACAAAGAAACTGTGCTCATATTTGTCTACACCAAACATCACTTATCATTAAATCACTGGCCTAACATGCTCTTCTCAGAAGAAATGCTCACATTCTGAGGGGAGGGATAAGACCAAATTAGTACAGGAGCTGTTACTTGCAAGACCCGATAACCTAAGCATGACCCATTCACAAAAATCCTCTCTCCCAGCCAAGAACAGAATAATAAGTCTACTTCCAAAATCATAAAAGTATGATTATAAAAGCAGAGTCATGGCACATTATAAGCCCACAAATGATTATTTATGAATATGTTTAATATACCTTTAACTATGAAAATGTAGTTAAATGGGTTATACTCTTAGGTTTGGCACCTGGTTTGGCAGCTTTTCTGATCCTTTTGAAATATGAATAAACCTTCCTCTGCTGCACAATTAACAAATATTACTTTTAAAGCTGCTTAAATCTGCAGGATTTAATAACATTTAATGACTCTAGACTTCAACTGAGTGAGTAATGAATTAGAATGACAGAATGGTAAAGAAGTAGTAAAGACAATTGCTGATTAATAATTAAAGTAAAACAAGACAGCTGGAAACACTAGACTTATATAAAACTATCAACTAAGATAAGATTAACATGGGTGGGGAGACAAAGGTTCATGCACACTTTGTCCCCTTTTATCAGTATTAGTAAAATGCACACAATGAAGAACATTTCTATTTACAGTTAAGGCTTTTCCTCTTACTGGTAGATAAGTTTTAATACAATCCCAAATACTGTTTTCAGACTGTTCTTTCTTTTTCATAACAAAACACGTTGATGGGGCACCAAGCTCAGAACATGGCAAAAGCATAGCCAGAGCATAACAAAAACAAAAGCAACTCTTTACCAGAAAAAATATAAAGGGAAGGGAAAAAAGAGGGCAGAGAAAGAGGAAGCAAAAGTATCTTAAATAGAACCCGCTAGACGTCAAACTGCATGGAAGCATGAGTGTGTTGAGTACATGTGCTGCCCTGAACAGACAGCAGGTCAGAGACTATATGCCTGCCGGGCTCAGATCTGCCAAAAGCACCTTCTACTAAGGGTCACACCTGAAAAGAGTTTTTCCAAATGGCACAAACATTTCCCCCTCGGAACGAGACGAGGAAGAAGCAGCCGGCCAGTCCTGTGTCTGCCAGCTGCACGTTGGCAGGTTCCTCAAAGGGAAGCTTGCAAATGTCCTTGGGGACCCCAGTTTCGAACCGCACCAGCTGATTTTTGCTGGTTGCCGCCACCAATGACGACTGAAATTTGTCGCCTACTTGTTCAGCCGAGACAAAAAAAATGCATTTCACGACAGAAATGTACGCATGAGGTAAAATCCAAGCTCCGTCAAAAAGCTCTCCATCCTCCAGGAAATATCCAACAGCTTGGTGTGGCCAGGTGATCTTCGGCTGCTTATCATGGTCCTTCTCAGCTGGTTTTTGGGAACCAAGGATCATTATGTTCCTTTTGCCAATGGGTAACTCGCCAATATAACATACTGACAATAACTGAACATATACTTGCTGAACCTCACCAACTTCCACAGATGTATAAAAAATACTATTCTCATGACTCCATAACACAGTGGGGCCCCGTGCAATTGTAATATTGTCTTTCATTTCATATGGCAGCTTAAACTCTAAGTGTGGCTCGAAGGAGTCTGAGCAGCTAAGAGTGAGAAGTGTGTATTTGAAGGAGTTTGTTTTTCTCTTCTGTTGTTTGAGTAAAATACAAGGAAGCACTTGGCCATTTTTTACATCCACAGCAGGGGCACAAGTAACCAGGCCAAACTGTGAAGTGGCCCTTTTGCTGACAAGCACTTTGCTTTCATTGCGGACCAAGAAATGTCCCGCCTCTCGCCCAAAGAACATCCTTCTCAACCTAAGCTCTGACCCTGACTGAGACTGCCTCTCAGAAAAGGAGGGTGCCAATTGGACTGAAAGGATGTCACTGTTGAGAGCAAACAGTCTAATACACTCTTCTTCCGGAGAAACCATTGTGCTTCCTGTTAGGGGGGGCAGTCTAGAAGCAGGCATCCATGTCCCTAAATAAAGACAAAAAAATGTAATAGTGCTCGATCATTTCTAGAAATGTGCAAGATAGTTAATGTTTTGATGCAAGGTTAAGGCACATGAATTAATCCCAAAAAGCCCAAAAGTTATGAGATAAGAGCACAAAACTTCAGTGCTATAACTTAGTTCATGACCTTTAATCCCATTACGTCCAAAGTTTTACAATGACAGACAATGGGACAACGACAGCTAACTTTGGCATCCACCGGTTACACAGTAGTTGCCATACTTAGAGCAGGTAAAACAAAACAGTAAACAAATTATTTAACCCACTTTACTGTTTTTAAACAAACTGACGTACTAAGGGGTTACCGCTTACCAAGCAGTGTCATTTTAGCTAGTAATATCTTTCGTCATTCACAAGCATAAGCATAGCTGCTAACTAGCTAGCTGACCTTATCGGATTTCTTGTTATCGGACTACACCAAGCTGACTAACTAGCCTAGCTAGCTGACAAGTACTTAAAAGTTTAATTAAAACAAAATTATGAGCATGTCTGAAGTAATGGACAGGCTAGCACCAACACAGAAGCCACTTGGCACGTGCATGTATTTCTGCAAGCATTTTACAGCTACTTAGTTGATTATCCAAAGGCAGATATTACCAGTTGATGAATCAGGTTCCAGTTACCTTGTCCGAATTTGGGTAATCTAACCCATATATTATCCTGTGAGACAAATGAAAAGCCACCGAGAGATACTTTCTGGTCAGAATGTCAAAACTTCCCGCTTCTAAGTGCATCATGGGAATCGTAGTTTTTAAAGTGGCATCGTGGGAAATGCAGTTTACAACGGTAGTCATCATGTCTCCATAAAAGCTTTCTGATTAACATCACAAATGCTCTATGGCTGTAATTTTGCGTTTTTCGAAGTGCTTGACGGGCAGCTGGCATGCAGTCATCGGGGCGTTTACCCTCTGTGAAAAAATATGCTGACAGGCAGGGTGTTGACATTTATAGCTCCTCGCAGAGCCAAAATGGCGCGCCAAGGGAAGTCAGTGTCACGACGGGTCCCGTTTTATACGCCTGGTCTCCGGCCACCCCTGCCAGCGCTGACGTGACCATGGCGAGCGCTGAACCTTCTCTGTCAGAGCAGGTAGGCACAGTATGTATTGAGGGTAAGAAATAGATGGCGTAGCTTTCAGATGTGTGGGTACTCATGAATTGCCCTCTTTCAACAGGACATTGAGAAAAAGATAGAGGAAACAAGGCGGAGGTTTAAAACGGAGTATCTTAAAGGTAAGGCAGCTCCTCTTACGCTTAATGCTGATGAAGTCGTAATTTGAAACTCACATCACCAAGTTAATACCAATGTCCAAGAGTATTAAGTAACACACACAAGTAAAACTTAAATCTGTGAAATGTACAGTATATGTGTAAAGAACTGTGTTCAACGGTTTTCGTCCTTAATTGTTATACTGGACAATACCGAAACATCATGTGACCCGTATGGAAGCGGGTAGAAGTTTTTAAAGTTTTGAAATGGACGTCAGATTGTGCTGAACAGCCCATGGTATATATCATTTTGGAAATCGAATTAATTCAATATGAATGTCAAAATGAAACCGTTATCTCCGCAGACGCATGTGACAGGTATGACCGCAGGGACCTGGAGCAGCTGGAGAGCGATGACTGGCTGGTGGACGCGTACCTGACGTGGCAGCACTATGCCGTGGACAGGACCATCAAAATGATAGACGAAAGCTTTCACTGGAGAAAGGCATTCCAACTGAACGGTAAACGGGTCGTATTTGGAATTCACAGTGATAACTTTCGTTAGATTTTCTCAATGCCTAAAAAATTAGAAAATAAGATTAAAAGAAATTAAAGCCGTTTTTATTATTATATAGAGTATTTAAATGTTTCTTTAAAGAAATTAGACAAATTAGTTTGTAGTTTTACAAAAACACTTTAAACAGGCTGAGTTGTTTTTAAGCTAATTTTGAGTTTAATCAGTCCAAATAAACTGCCAATACGATATGACCTTGCATATGCTGTCTGCACTCTGGATATCCTTCACCTAGAGCCATACTCCAGTATTCTGCAGAAATAGGTACAATACCACTGTCACCTCACACCTCTGGGGTTTGCCTTTCAGATTGCACCTGCTTTCGTTTGGAGTTTGCATGGTTTCCCTTTGTCACACTGCTTTCTTCCAAAAGCTAACTGGCATCTCTAAATTGCCCTAGCATATGATTGTGTGTGTGTGTACCTCTGGGTATATGTGTGTCCAGTGATGATCATAATCCCATTTAGGGTGTACCCCTGCCTCGCACCCTCTGCTGCTTAGGCTGTGCTCCATATCCCTCTGCGACCCTATCCAGGATAAGCTGTTGGAAAATGGATGGATGCTTTTCAAAGAGTTCAAAGTCTGTCTCTTGTCGTTTTGAGCAGTGACATGGTGCCTGTAGGCAGCTTCTTGAGTTTTACTTCTTTGTGCACATTTTCTGGAGCCTCTTTGTGTTTTTCAGATATCACAGAAAGCTGCGTCCCCAAATGGACCTTCGAGACTGGTGCTATCTATCTGCATGGCTATGACAAAGAAGGCAACAAGCTATGTAGGCGGATTCTTGTTTCAGATTATGATTTGTGTTTATTTTTGCTAATGACATACATCTGATGATCGCTATACCCCTGTTAATCAATATATTTCCCCTTTTCCAAAAAACTGGATATCTTTGTGTTATCCTTGTTCAGCCTTATCAGTGTTGTTTTCTGGACTTGGTCTGCTGTATAACACAAAGGTTGTCTGTTATATAAATAGATTTATTGATGCACCAATCTGACTTTTCAGTCCGGACACCAATAATGATACCTGGGCTTTGGGTATCGACCGATACGGAGTTCCAATCTGATACCAGTATATATGTATATTATGTTGTGTGTGCGTGAATATATATACCCAATTGAATTATTTGTTAATTGTTATTTATTAATAATATGTTGTTTATATTTGTGAATATAAATAAAAGTTCAGTGTGTATATACATACATACATACATACATATAGTGCACACAAAAAATCTTGCTTAATTCAGTAAAAATATTGCAAATTTGTTGGGCTTGTAACAAAGTCATTATTTGCTTACAAAAACTAGGAACAACCAGTAGTTTTAAATAAAACATTCATTTCATGTAAATTGAAACCCAAGTTATACCTCTAAAAGGGCTCTTCTGAGTTAGAAAGGTCATTGAGAAGTAGTGTCACTGGGGGCTTAATAATTAGTAACACCTTTGCAATAACATAAAACACCAAACATCTGCGTTTTGGAGCCAGGGACTACAATTGCAATTAATAGCAAAATGGCAAGAACAGACCTGAATAGGTAAAAAAAAAAAAAAACATCATAAAAACAAAATGTCTGTGCAGAATAATTATTATTAATAATAAATATTATAATTATTATTATTAGGTGCATATATATATGTTATTATTGTTATTATTATGATTATATATTATATATATATACACACACACACACACCTTACAGTGTGTATATATGTAAATAAATAAATAGAAATAAGGACTTACGTAAGGTGTGTGTATGTGTATATATATACACATACCTTACCTGAGGTTTTTTTTTTTTTTAAATCAATTTGCCAACAATGGGATTCAAACCAGGGACCTTCTGATTACAGGTATAGACCCCTAAGCCATATTTATATATGTGTGAATTTCTACTGTCATTTCAGTCTGGTTTAACATTAGTCGGCATGTCAAGGATGCCAAGACCATGCAGGACAAGAAGCAGTATGTGGCCTTCTGGTTGGAACAGCACGTTAAACAGCACCGTGGCAAGCCTCTCACGGTCGTGTTCGACATGTCTGATTCTGGCGTCCGCAATATCGTAAGCATCTGCTCTCTCAAAACTCCCTTCATTAACATCAAAGGTGTCTGTGGGTGTTTGCCATTTGGACCAGCTGTAGTTTCTTGTAAACCATCTGATTCTTTCCACTAAGTTTTATTAAATCTACTAGTTTCACAAAGAGTGCAGACATTTGTCAATTTAACAAGACAGCAATGGCCAAAAGAGAGAACTTTGTTGTATGGAATATGCATCTGGGATATGTATTTGCAAATTTTATAATTTGCAATTTGCCGCAGGTCAAGAATCATGGAGATGACTAATAAAGAATGAATATTGTAAGAATTGTAGGAAATAGTAAAATGAGTATTCAGTTTTCTATGTTTTCTCAGTTTAATTCTATTGATAATATCTAAAGATAGTTATTGTAAATCTGTGCCAGTCACAGTAATCAAAGGTCAAAATTGTGCAATCTTTTGGCTAATTGTTTCTATGACATCCAGAAATGGATATTAACCATCTTATTTTTTTCTGACATTCTTCTGGAAGATGTTATTTGTTATGCTATGTATATATGCACAGGATGGTATACACTACAACATTTCATAACACTGAAATACACTCAGCCCGCTATATGTGTAACTTTGACTTCGTCACATATTAGTTTTGGTCAATAAACAATTTTGGTCTAGATATTAGCTTTGGTTTCACTTGAGATTCCGTCTCTGAATTCAAAGAAAATATGCTTTATAATCAAAAGACTTTTGAGTTTTTTTATTTGTTAAATATAAATTATTTCCTCTTGTTTAGGACCTGGAGTTCGTGAAGTACATCATCAGCTGCTTTAGAACATATTATCCAAAGTTGTTGTGTAAGTATTAGAAACTAGTTTGTCTTTGTATTTTGGTATTTTAAAAGGAAAATACAAAACTTTACAGCACATATATAAATCATACAGTAATATGTGTTTTACCCTGCTGTTATTGTACTGTTTCCTGGTCTCTTTGAAAATGACGTCTAATCTAGTGTGAGAATGGGGGAGGGATATTTATGACCTTTCCACCTTTGCCCATATTTACTCACCTGTATGCTATTGAATGTTTGTTTCATCCCCTCATCACAAGCTGCTATCTCATTTTATTCATGGCACAAACACTAAGTCACCTTTCATAACCACTTGCACTAATTATCTGTTATTTTATTATATCTGATATAGTTATTTGTTACTTTGTTAGATTTATTTTGTTATTCTGTTTTGCACTATTACTACTGTCTTATCTTAATTCCTCTTGTTGCACTGAGCATGTTTATGACAAAAGAAATTCCCTCGGGATAAATAAAGTTCATCTTATCTTATCTTATCTTATCTTATAGTCAGTATGGAGACTGAATGTTGTCTTAAATGTCAAAGCCATTCATTGATTTTTCTGTCGTTGCTACTTGCATCGTGTCTGTGTTAGATGCTGATTCAGCTGCTAGTCATTACTTTTTTGCATTGATAATATGTCATCATTGAATTTAACCACATTTTTAATTTATTCCCTCTTAATGCTTCTCATTTAAGCCAAAATGATCCTGTATGAGATGCCTTGGATCATGAACGGTGAGCTACTCAGTTAATAGTTTTGCTTTACATACATCCTGGTACTGGTGCAGTCTATGCTGCTTGAAAGACCCAGAATAGACTAAAATGTCACGTTTCTCCTCTGATTCAGCGGCTTGGAAGATCATAAAGTCGTGGCTGGACGCTGACTCCATTGAAAAATTGAAGTTTGTGTCCAAGAATGAGGTTGAGATATACATCAGCCCTGACAATTTGCCACCTCACATGGGAGGAACTGTATGTCTTCATTTCATCATTATTTCATTGTTATTAGATACTGTGGCTTTTATTAGAAACTTTTTCTTCCTACAAAAAGTCTTGGAGTACTTAAGAACTGAGTATCTCTTTGTATAGTTGTACCTGCTGGACAAGCTGAACATTGTCATTTTGGTTTGCTGTTATTTGGATGTGTTGTAGGACCCTTTCAAGTACAGCTATCCCCCGCTTCCTGACGACAGCTCCCAGTTCCTGGTGTCTGAAAACGGGCCAAGCGACAGTGCAGTTGAAAATAGCAGAATCCATGGAAAGGTACCATGTGACCTTTATTAGCTACATATTTACACGTTTTCCTTACATACCAGGTCCAGTTCAACATGATCTCCATTGTCATTCAGCCTGTCTGACACAATATTGCAGTAGCATCCTTGTAGGCTTCAGCACGCCCAAAAACATTCGTTAGCTTATGTCTTGTCCACTCCTCATCCAGAGAAGAGGTGCTAGATTGTATACTTAAAAGGCCTGTGCCATCTAATTACTCTGGGAAGGACTTACAGTAATGATGTGGTTACTCAATTCAAAGACGGTCATGTAGCAATGATCAGAGAGAACAAACTGAGAACAGTAACTGAGAAGCGACTGAAGACATTAATGATATTACCCCTTGTCAAGTCAATGAGCTGCATCAGAATACTGCAGAGCTGTATTTTCCATTCAGCCCTTGTTCCTCTCAGTGGAAATGACACTGTCCTTCAGCAGTAACTCTCGTAAACACAGGTGCATTGTGTCCCAGGGACACACAATGCTGGTGGAAGTAGGCACCAGCAAAATCAAACATGGTATCTACGTTCAAGCATGTAGTGTGTGGCTTTTTGGACTGGAAGGTCTTCTATTCAAATGGCGATGTCACCACTGAGCCCTTGAGCAAAGCTGTTAACTCTGATTACTACAGGGACTGCTTAACCATGCTTTCTCAACTGTATATTGCTTTGGATAAAAGTATCTGTTAGTTAAATGTAATAATAGTAATGTATCACTTTGAGTTGTGATGCAGTAGATTATGAATGTTTTAGGGTGTTTTCTGTATGCCTGTACACCAGTAATGTATATTACCAGTTCTTCTTAATCATAAGCAGTTACTGTGCAGACAATGGACTGTCACTCACCTACTGCTGATATTAATGATTTTAATTTGTTGTAATTTTTTTTTGTTTTGGTAAAAGGACTGAAAAGGGATTACACAACACCTTACCTGCACAAGAAGTACCGAAATCAGGAGATTTCTGTCAACAGAAAATGCAAGCGTACTCTATTGTGTATTTGTGATAATCCCCTGGATTATCATTGTTACCAATGTGTAGTAGTTGCCTCAAATTATCAAACTCTGCAGAATACTTTAACCTGGACTTCACACATAATATGAAACTGCTATTTTTAAACCGTATGCATTTTTAAATATTTTAAGCAATATGTTCAATTTTGAAATTTGTCTTTTGCTTTTGAAAATATAAGCAATTTTTAGTATTAGCCGTATTTACCTGGGCGATTTAGTAAGAGCTTGTAATACTTTGTTGAAATCTGGTTAAAATGCTGTTCATTAGTCTACCTTAGCATTTGGGCTTATAAGAAACAGACGATCCCTGATTGTCAGCCTAGGCCTGTGGCCGATCATGACTGACCCTAACGTTTGTACGCTGCTTGAAGGGGCCACAGCACAAATTGATTAATGCAATTAATTAGGTTTGCTTTTGATTACTGAGACCCAAAACAGACATCGCCTATAATTTGCCTATAACTGCAGTCCATAAACAAATTCTGTCTCATTTTTTCATGTATGTCTTACATTGTCTGGTTTTGTTCACACATGTTATCAATAATGACGAAGTACAGGCACAAGAAAGCTTTTCTGAAATGTTAGCACATAAACGTGTTAACAGTTTGCCTTCTTTGGCCAATAGCTGAGCACTGTCCAGATACGTGTAATACCAAGCATTAAAGCATTTCAACATAGACATTCCTGGTCATGTATATCCATATAAAATAGGTAGGTAGCATGGAGCTGACTTGTTGGTTTATTGTTTGTCTGACCTGTTCGTTGAATAAATTGGGCCCACGCAGTAACCTAGTTACGGCTTTGATAGTGTGCCATCTGCTCCGATGATCTGCAGGTATTACATTGTAATAAGCACTTATTTATGAATCATCTTCTTACTATTCTTTTGTTTATAAACTGTGAATCACATGTAAGGTAATCACTGTGATTTGGCACATAAAACTATAACATCTAAATTACATCTAGATTACAGTAATTACATTAACACTCCATAGTTACTTTGATTGCTGGATAAGTTATGTTGTCATGGTAACTTTTTTGTCTATGCATTTCAAATTGTCAATTGAATTGTGATTTTCTTTTCTGTAAACTCTTAAATGAGTTTAAGTATTTTCATTTGTATTAATGGGAGCTTGATGAATGTGATCCTTTTGCATTTTTCGTAATTTTTAAATTGTTTTTGGGAATTTAATGATGTAAAAATTAAGGGACTCTGCTGCAAGAAAAGTGTTAAAAGGAATCCTGCACAAGAGTGTTCATTATGTTGTGTTTCCACAGACACTGCATTTCTGTGAATAAGAATATTTTTTTACATATTGCCCTGAGGCATGAGCTGAAGATATTTCAATTCCAGTTTGTATCAGAAGATTATTTTTGTAATCTCTGTCAGAACCTACCAGCTGCATTCCTGTTTTTGTGTAGCAAAGTTATTGGCCCTTATAAAACATATTCATATAATGTGACAGCCTTGTAACCTTCTCTTCCATGTGTCCTTGGTTCTATGAATAGGACACATTATGGGGGAATTTTTAATTTCTAATTTCTCATTAAAAGTAAACTGTGGTGTCGATTTCTAATATGTGACATTTCATACTATATGCAATATCAACCTTTGGTGGAATTCCCCTTTAACAAATTGTGCAATCTGTTAAGCAATGGCCATTGATACTTAACTGCCAAAGATTTACATTTAATGTTTTTATGACTTTGTATCTCAGGACTCATTTTAAAGATCCCTCAGATAAATTGTTGCATATTAATCAATAACTGAACTGACTGAATGAACTTAAATGGACATATGAAGTGATGTTTTTTACCTTCAATGTTTTATCTCACTGAACTGTAATAAAATAAAGAACTGAATGTTTTTTCATTAAAAATTAAAGAAACAGCCAGTAAGTGTGTCTTCTGTATGCAGAATCAATCAACTAATGGCTGTATTGCACTGTAATAAAATAGCCTTCCAGAATAAGCTGATTTTCTTTCTCTTTCTTTTTCTTCCTCCCTCCCTATAAGTAAGGATGGGAGGGTGGGCTGGGCTTATTGTAGCCGATGACCTACAATCTCAGTATAACCCTGCAATAGACTAGATGCCAAGCCCACAATACCCAGCAACCATTTAATAGTGTTGTGATGCACAAAGGGCTTGACATGCAGATGTTTCCAGTTTCTTCTGCTTTTCTTCGCTAACAAAATGTAAAAATAGAATGCTGTGGTCATGTGCCTCTCGTGATCGAGTTACTGGGACAATGGTAAAGCTGAAGGCAGCATGTGCTGTTGTTTACAGAGGAATAGCACAATGTCTTGGCTTCTCACCAGGCCACCTGTGTCCTGACCTGTGCAAAAAAAACAAATGTGTTGCATTTCCTTTACATTTCATATAGTTAATTCTCTTTGTAGGTTAACTGTTAAACCTTGTGACAGGCTTGCAAATGCTCTTTCCCAATTGCGTCACTCTCTAGCATAATGGACAGTGTAAATATTTACTGTAGGGCTTTATCCATTCATTTTTCCAGTCTTACCAGGTTAAGATGGGTGTAAAACAATGTGTAGAAAGATGATAGCCCAAGGTATGGCGCACAATAGAAAACACCACGTTTCAGGCAGCAGTAATTCAGATTCTGCCACTGTTATAATGCCTGGAATGTTCACTAGGGCTGCTCAAAATAACTGTCAAAAAGCCCATTTCCACTTAATTCTTCATACCATCTTCTAGAATTTGCCCTTAAATGTCACTGAATATGAGGAAATTTAGGCTATTTTCAGCTGTCTTTCTATATACAGAAAAGCAGTGGGGAAGTGACAGGAGAAAATGAGAAATCCACGCCAGTCTTACTTCTCTGGTCTTACTGATGTTTGATAAGACATAAGAACTCCCTGTTGGAAATCATTGCATAGAAATCGTTAGATTGATCTGCTTCCTTGACCTCCATCCACCATCCTTATTCACTACAGGGCCCCTGTGTGCCTGGTGGCCATCCAAGGAAGACACAAAACAAGCAATTTAGAGATACTCTTTCACCTGCAGGGTATGCTGACTGCAATAGGAACTGAAGTACCCACACAAACACAGGAAGAACATACAAACTCCACCCAAGAAGGAATGTTATCCTACGATAACGTCATGACCAAAGCTCAAAGTAACTCTCATTAGTTAATATATTACACAAGGCACGATACAGCTATTTGAAATATTATGGGTGGCAAAGAATTGTAAAGACAATTCTTATTTATCTGTTTGAATTACAGAGCCAGAGACATACAGAGTAAAGTCTCGGCTTCGCTGTGAAGCTATGCAACACTAGCTATGAAGCAGAAGCTTGGCTACATATTTTTTGCATCCTGTCATGGATTCTCTCTCACCTCTGCACCTTTACCTCTTATCCTATCTTTTTCAGTGATGCAAAATAGCACAACAAGCCAGTTCCAGTTAACTCCTCAAAGTGCTGAAAACAAGCCGCTTTCTCTCCTGATGCACGTATTTTAACAACGATAACATAATCACCCGTTATCATTTGTACACCATCCTTTCTGAGCTGTAAGAAAAAAAACCATACTAAAAGCAGTTTCACCAGCCAAATTGATGCTCGCGTTGAAAAATAGAGTATGCTTCTTTATCAAGGTTTTGCCATTTGGACTTTTGCTGAGCTTATGGTGTTTCAGTTTCAAAGGCCTTCATGTTTTTAAATGCCAGTGAGATATTGTGAGGAGGAGGTTGTACAAATTGATTGGATGGTGACTTTAAGCACTTCTTCCCCTCTGTCTAAATGGTGCAAGAGCACAGACCTGTTTAACCACGACTGCAGTCTCTTGGTCATTGGCCTTGCAGACTATTATTGTCACGTTCGGGGACCGGCGAGCCGGGAAGCAAACGAGAACAAGCCAGGACTGACGGGCAAACGGGGTTTATTCTGAGGCTGACGGACAGACGAAGCACAGTACATGACAATACAATGCCGGATCTGGCAGACATGGGGAGACGCGGACTGATATACACAA